GTTGTACGGGGCTACTATTGATTGTGGCTCGGATTTGGGTTAAGGAATCAGCACAAGAATTGATTTTCTCACAAAATTGCGAAGCGACGACGGATCCACTCAAAAAGTTGTATGAGACAACGAATCGAGAATATGCCGAATTGTTATATTTATGTATTTGGATTCTTAGCCCTTCCCCGATTAATTCTTGTTTGATTTTGTTAAATTCGTTTTCATTATCGTTCATTGTCAATTGTAGATGTCGTATGGCTTATATTAATGAAATTTAGTGTCCTTTAGGACTTTTTTCAAAACTACTACCACGTACTAGTATATATTAAAACCAATTGTTTGTAAAAATCAGATAATAATTATATACTTTGTACTAAAGAATAAATAATGTTGTTAATCCATTTCAAGCTAAAATTAATTAGAACACATGATTTATATACTTCGAAGAACAAAGTACCATAAACACTAGTCTCTTTCAAAAATGACTTACTTTCTCAACAAATTCAACTTTTTGAACCATGCATGAAGACATTAGCCCATAACTCTCTAGAAAAGTGACTACTATATGTGCAGATAAATATCCACTAACTTTGAAAGTCTTCCAATTTTAGTGGATATTGATTAAATGTAGAAAATATCACTTTGTGACAAAGTATTCTCTTTCTTGTAAAAAAAAAAACAAAAAAAAAACAAAACCACTTATCAAATAACTCAAGTATAAACTAAACAACTTTATTCATCAGCTCAAAAGTACGTATAAATTTAAATCAAACTCCCCACTATACTTAATTATTGTATTATTTTCTTAACCAAACATATACGGAGTACACATTAAAGCAAAATGACTAGTATACCATTATAATACTACCTCCGTTACATATTATTTGCAACGATTAGACATTTTTTCTCTCTACTTTATATCAAATCGTTGCAAACAATATGTAACGGAGGTAGTATAAAAAGTTAAGACAATGTGATAACCAATTCTGATCCAACCCGTAAAAACCGGGTACTAGACATATACATCATGGGCAAGCTAGTAGTCTAGTACACAGCACTTGTGAATAAGATGCAATACATGACATGTTTGACCAATGACAGAACAGAAATCTGAAGTATGCATGGCCCCTGAAGTTAAATTTATGAGGTAGAAGTAGTACTTATCTTCAATATTAGATCAACCCAAACTAAGCCAAAAATTGGTGGCATGACAAGACATTCTCTCTCCAATTTTATGCATATGATGCATGCAATGTTGGAGGCCAAAGATTCCAAAAATAATAAACAAAAGATATACTAGCACTATATTTTGCACCTCCTTAGTTGGTATTTCTGACCTTTGTTTCCTTTGCTTCTGACACTTGTAGCTCTACTCATGTAAGTATTTGCTAGCCTTACAATACTGTATGTACCACTGTGTCTAAATTCAAGTGTCCTACTATATTCCCATAAAATATTTTTTATATATTTTTTATATGTAACTATGACAATTGACAATCCTTTAAGGGCATGTTCTCATACGTTTATTTTCATTTCAATTCAGGTCCTAATTTTCTTCTCTTATAAAATATTCATTTCAACTCAGTTCAGTTCAACTCAATTCAGTTCAGTCTATGAGAACAGGCCCTTAAGTATACATTTATTCGTAGATGTTAACTAATTTAGTCAAAATACTAGCATAGTGCCCGTGCGATACACGGTTTATAAATCAAATTATTAAACCCGTAGGAAAAATAAAAATAAAAACAAAGTTAATTCATTTACTATTAAAGGACTTGGTTACTAATGGTCAATAAAAAAAAATTAAAGGAACGTTATTTGAATAGTATTTTATGTTATTTGAATTTCTTTTAATTTTTTATAATGTTATTTTATTAATTGAAAATTAATTGAATAATACTCCACATAGCTATATAAGAAGTGGACTAATTTATTTATATTTCCCGTTGAGAAAAAACTAAAATTTTCTTATCATACCATCTGCATCAGTAGCTACAATCAATCTAATATATACATGTTTTATTTACCCGTCGCACTAATTAAATCTATAGACACAATAATAACCTTATATGACCTACCAGAACATATATTTTCCTAAGTTAACCATTGTGCCAAAAACTATATATTATATAATAGTCACATATATAACCAACAGCTGATTAAATATAGTATACAACACAAATACTTCGTATATAGGTATGGATACTGATAATTTTATATAAATAAAATATACGGAGTATATATTACTAAGATTTATCCCTACCTTAATTATAAAAAGGTTAATAAAACTCTTATAATAGTGCATGGACATTTATATATCTAAAAATGTTCTTTTTACATATATTTACCCCCATTTAATTTTAAAAGCCTTTAAATTGTCTCTTGAATTCGCTAAATTGATTTGAAATGTTAGGTTTATTTCAATATTTAAATCCATTTACTATTTTTCATTTCCTTTTGTTTTAATTTTTCTATTTAGAATTTATTAGACTATTAGGTTTCAAGATCGAAGTCAATATCTTTTTACCGTACAATCACCAAATCAAAGTCGTTCAACTAAAGTTTTAGACATTGCATAGCTACACAACATTTAACACATTTAATGATTACATGCAAATAATTTTAATAAAACTACGCATTCGATATAAGTTATTAAAAAATTTAACTGTATATACATTTTGATAGGTTTATATCTTTCATATTAACAAAATTTTACAAATGTTATTATTATATTTTGAAAAAAAAAATTAGACTTTGGAGTTTTGTATAAGATAGATAAAGGATAAGTTAATTCTCGTCATATATGCATTGAGTTTTGGGTGTTCTATCCGGTTCACCCTTTGGGCTAATCCAGATTTGAGGATCAATTCTAGGATATTAGGTTCCATTCCCCTTCCGATTGTTGTTGCAGGGGAGCGAACACAGGTCCTCCCTACCTAGTGTAGTCTCAATCACCACTACACCAACAACCAATTGGTGTAGTGGTGATTGAGACTACACTTGGTGTGGAGGACACGTGTTATAAAATATTATATTATATACATATACTTTTTTATATTATAAAAAATATTATATTATATACACATACTATTATAGTTAAAAGTATTATTATGTATAAAACAACATAAGTTATTGCACATGATTGTTGTATATCTAGTATAGTTTATGAGCAATGCATGGTTTTTAAATTAAAATGTTAGTTTTTCTAAAAAATTCATAAGTAATAGCATTGTTAATACAAATATTATAATTTAAAACACGAGTAATAGTTATAATACATTTTATATCTATCCCTTTTCCGTCAAATGTCTAATTCAATTTAACTTTTATTGTTTTTGTTTAGATTGGTTATATATTGGTTCAGTTTTTTTTTATGCAAGACAAAAAATACTAAAAGACATTGTATAGAAAATGAAAGGCTGATTAAAATTAAATTTATGTTCAAGATTATGTATTTTTTTCCAAGACAATATTTCAGCTCAGCATTCAGTATTTGTCAAAGAGTACAACAAACGATAAAACTAATGTTTACACTATTTTGTATCTTTAGCAAAAGCTTTTGTATTCATCTATCCGATTACTTGAATTGAATTTAGGATAACTTACCTTGTAGACTATTTTGGGTAACTTTTATCAATAAAACATAAATAACTTTCATTCATTACAGGGTAGCTTTTATAATAGGTGCACAATATTTTATTGTACATCTGATTTTTTTAAAATGTTTGTATTGATTTCATAATTGACGTCAAACTAAATTCTATAGATTTTATTTAATTTTCATAAAAAAAAAACAATATTAACCTTTCAAAATACGAAATATTTGTTTCCTTAATTATGCCACTTTAATCATATTGCTTCAAATTAATTATTATTCTTTAACTTGACTATGAATAAAGATTGGAAAGACTTTATGGATTATTTGTAGTATTTGAAAATATATATTTATTATAAAAAATTAAATAAATATTTTGTTAGGAAATCATGAAAATCTTATGCATGTATAGAAACTTGTTTTTATTGTTTGAAGTTTAACAAAAATAAGTATGCTTGAATATGTAAACCGTAATTATATAGATATATTTTATACATAAGATAAGCCAATGAGAGAGTGACATTTGTCATCCTCATATTGAGACGCTTGTCTTTTAGTATAATATATATAGATAGATTAAAGTGACAGTTTTTAAAATTTGAAGTGAAATTCTGTTTCTATTTTCATAATAAGATATGGATGTGTTTCATAATCAAATCTTAATAAAATTGAATTGGATTGAATTGAAACTCTTGATAAATAAATCCAAATAAGTAGACCTAAGCGTTCACTCAATCATTGAAGTGTAGGCTTTTGCCTAAAGTCATTTTGTAATGAACAATAAATTATTATTATTATTATTATTATTATTATTATTATTATTATTATTATTATTATTATTATTATTATTATTATTATTATTATTATTATTATATGTCAAAAACAAATAAAGTCATACAACCTAAAAAAAAATACTCCGTATTGGGTAGCTGAGATTCAATTTGAGCCCCCACTCATCTAGCTAAAGAAAAACCTACTCTAATAAAAATATGAACAATAGCACATGCCCCGATGTCTAGAGCCATCGAGAACTTCTGAAACTGCTTCAACAACTAACACAACAACCTCATATAATCTTTGATAATAGCTATAGAATACTCATATAAATAAAGTGAATTATAATACATTAATACGTAGTAAGAGTCTGTTCTCATTGAATGAACTCAGCTGAATTGAATTGAACTGAACTGAACTGAACTGAAATGAATATTTTATAAGAGAAGAAAATTAGGAGCTGAACTAAACTGAGCTGAACTGAACTAAATTTCAATGTAAGAGAACAGCCCCCAAGTTACTATAAACCGAATTCCTAAGTTTATTTAGCATTAATATTTAAAAATATCATATTAATGCATATGGTAATGAAGGGTATCTTTGGAAAAAAAAGGGATAAATAGTCACATGAGAGTGAACTGTGAAGTGTGATGCTCATTCTTCCATTCCCACTGTTAGATCTGACATCAATAACACTTCCTTCTTTTCAAAGCTGCTCATCATCTTCTTCCTTTTTTTTCCAACTAAATATTTACAAGTATATTATCTACTCTTTCCTCCGATCTTTAGATAGAAGCTCTGATCACCTAATGACAAATATTACACTATAGTCAGTATGTATTAATGTATTATTAGTATACCCTTTTTTTAAAAAAATAAGATTTATTTATTCAAAGTGTATTATTAATTTCTTTATATCCTTACATCTTGGATCTTTCTACCATATACACCCAATACCTTATAATATGTAGCTAGCTAGTATTATTTTTTATTATTAGCTCATCAAATTAGCTTCCTTTCTTCTTCATTAATTTATTGGGTCTTGTGAAAGTTCATTTTTTTAGCTCCCCAATGTATTGACCTTAAGCTTTTAATCACTTCTACTTAGTTTAATTCAATTTTAAGCATTGTTTAAGCTTTAGGTAATCTATATTATTATCAAGTGAGATGAGCTAAGCTAGTGTATTACATATATGTTCCTCTCCCATATTATACATACACATATATTAAGGAGGAATAAACCCTTTTTTTTTTTTTTTTTTTTTTTGCTCACCTCATTTTTTTTGGTAAAATTTTGAGGAATTTTGGAAATAAGTAAAGGCAAATTGAAGAAGATGAAGTTAAGTAGGATGTTGGATTCACTTTGTCTTGCTTTTGATTCAAAGACATGTTTTTGTATCAACTCTGTTGAAGCTCATGAAGATGATGAAGAGTTTGAACAAGAAAGGAAACCTCTATTTGAAGGCCAAAAGAAGCAAGTTTTAACTCTTAAAGATGCTATTTCTGGTACTCAAAGCTTGGCTTTGCTCATGAAACCTAAGGTATGTTCATGTACTAATATGCATCATATTCATTCCTCTCTCTTTTTCAAGTCATATGTAAATATATTACAGAACAACTATGAGGTCGGGTTTGGTTTTTACATAGGTTAATCTTGTCTATGTCACTGTCCTTCTTTATGATCAATTGACTTATGAATGATCATACACATACTTATAACCTTATATCACTATAAGAATGTTGATATGTATTATTTGTTTGTGTTTGTTTAGACAGTGGTACTGAAGGTGTCAATGCATTGCAATGGTTGTGCAAAGAAAGTGGAGAAACATATCTCAAAAATAGATGGTATGTTCCTTTTAATTATCTTTAAGTTTCATGTTTTTTTTTTCATCTTCAATGTTAGATTGTAATCTCTTGTTGATCGAGGATTGTAATACCAAAGCAATTGTTCAGTGTTGATAGCCTAGAATTACGTCTAATTTCAAATATCAAGATAGGGACCATACATAGTTTAGTAGGTCCTAATTACAATTAGATTATCTTTAATTAAGTAAAAACAAGGCTAATCTGCAACTACTAGTAGTATATTAGCATGTTAATTAAGAGTGGACTACTACATTACTACATAGTTAATTAGTTAGGTACATAAAAATTTATGTTTACCCTTTGAAAAAATAACAAGTTATTTATTTAATAATATGCTATTCACTATGGATATAAATTAAATTTACATATTGAATTATTGATAAGTCTTAGTGCATATATTTATTTGGTAAGGTAGCGTCCATTTAGGGATTAAGGGGGGAAACCATATAACCTACAATAATATGAATTTCGCATTTTTTTTTTCTTAATGTTGGATATCATGCATTATTATCAATCTCCCAATCTCTTATCAGATATTGAAAGTCTTACGAGATTTCAGTAGGAAAAAAATATGAAGAGAAACTGTAAATTCAGGGACTATCCGATAGCTTCTCTTATATATTAAGTATATAAATCCCGTTATTTGTACAACTTATAAGAATGACTTATGATATATACTAACTTGTTTGTTAAATATTCTCTGTCTCCTCCAAAAACCAAATTTAGGAGTGATGTCTTACAAAGTAGACTTGGAAAGCAAGATGGTGGTGGTAATTGGTGATATCCTCCCTTTTGAGGTATTGGAGAGTATTTCCAAGGTTAAAAATGCCCAACTTTGGACTTTTGGCATCTAATCATAACCACACAATTAAGAGCAAGGATCACAAACAAGAGGAGAAGGATTATGAAGAAGATCAAAGCATATTGTACATTTGATATTTTTGTGACCCTTGGTTAATTAAGCTATATTACTACTTAATTATGGCATATATAGTATGATTTGTATATCGATCGATATGCCAAAAACTAATGCATCCATCTTAATTTCTCGTGATGCTTAATAGAGTAATTTGCAAGGGATATTGCATTTTGAAGAAACCTTGCAAATTCTTAGTAGGAAAAAAAATATATAATATAATATATATATTCCAATGTATCATTTTTATATGTATTGGTTATTAAATTAGTATTATTAGAAGACCAATTTTAAATTTCTTTGACTCTTTGCGATCTTTGCACGTCTATTTAATATTATGGATCTATCTTAATTGTAAGATTATATTAATACATAATAATTAATTAGTATGAATTTATAACAATGGCATACATGATCCTTAAACTACGTATATGGGAGTATATATGCTTTAAGGCACCGGCCAGTAATATAATTGCCTGCTTTTTTTCGTTGCTTAAAAAATTAGAGAGATTGAGGAAGGTGGATGTGGCGGTGGAGTTGCAAAAGCTACAAAAATTTTGTTTGTTATGTACTTTTAAACTAGTGAATTGACATATTTTAGTGGTATAATTAGTAAGGGAAAAAATTATGCATGTTACCTACATGTTTAATGTGAAATAGGTAGATCCATCATGTCAAATTATATATGATATAAATAAGAATATGTTGGAGAATAGTATAATCAGATTAATCATACATACAAGTTTAAATAATATAGTCATTTTATTATAGCAAGTTCAAGTTAATTAAGATTATTTTCCGAAGTAATCCACTCATCTTATCAATTTTAAATAGTGATGTGTCAAATGTGGTGTCATAATATGTGATCGATCTTTTCATTGATATTAATTAGAGTCCAACATAAGACACACACTTGATACCAATTCAATTAGAGTCCAGCCTTACAAGGTACAAAGTACAAGCAAGTGACAAATAGAGCATAAAGGGTTGAAATGAGCACATTAGGGAAATCTTAGCACATGAATGCAATTTCTTGTATAAAGCTTCAATTATTAGCTTTTGACAATCATTTCCGTTCTTCACAAGGAGAAATAATAAATGCGTCACCTCAAATATAATTAGAAGCTAGATAATGTGAAGTTCGACATACTATACATATATTGTATCAAGAAAAAGACAATAATAACGAGATAATATTAATTAGATTATGGTTACGGCGTGAGTTAATAATAACCTTAAAGTCAAACTTAGCTTGTACCCATCATAGGCATGCATAGTGTACATGACTTTTCAATGTATAGAGGTATTCATGCTCAATCTTCCATGCGAGACAAAGGAAGTTTTGGTTTCAAGCAACAATATCACACCAACATCAAAAGGCTATCTAAGCTAGATGCTACTATGCTAGATAGTAGAACAAGAATAGCTTAGTCGGCATTGTTCCATTAAAATTTGATAAGATAAGGTCACACCTAATAATCTTAATCAATACTTAATTAGTGGTAAATACAATAATCATAGCTTAGACCTCATATGAAATAATCTTTAATCTATATCATATGATAAGATATAGGCCATATAACAATATCATTAAATTGAAGTGCTAGTTGGTAATGTGAGAACCATAGACCATGTGCTTCATAAATCCAAAATCACATCTATGTCGCTTTAGGTCCAATTGTATGTTTGTAGGTTGGACCATCATTTGTCACCTAAACCTGGCTATACGTATATGGATCATTATGATAAAATTGGTCATGTGCCAAACTTTAATTTAACTTGACCCTTTTTATAATTTTAATATTATTATATGGGTCCGATGCCACTTGATTTATTAAGGCTAAAGAAGCTTATTTAATTAGTTCTTAGATTAGGATACTCACTTTGTTTTCAAATAAATAAATAAGCGCGTTACATATTTATGCATAGAGCTTTAGACAAGTAAATAGAAGTATTCTATAGTGTAACCAAGTCAAATTGAAATACAGAGTATAATACTTTGTAAAGTTAATAAAAGATGAGTGAGATCATGTCTATTCACATCTGATAATGCATTATTTATAAAATGAAGCACTTATTCTAAAACGAATGAATAACACAAGTGATGATCTACTTATTTAAGAATAGAGGGAGTATTATACAATTGTTTTAGGCTTTCAAATCTTACTCGTTTCCCTCTAGTCCTAAAATAATTGGATAATACTCTCTCTACTCGACTATTACTAAGTGCTCAACCACTTCAACCACATACATAATGAGGAATTATAATTTATAATTTAGTAGGGCCTATAATCCTTAGGATTTCCTTGTGGTACTTTGGCGTCATATTCAAAGTTTTTGGTGTTACTCCTGTACATATATTATGTATAGTTTACAACTCATACATTTAAAAAAAAACCCATAGTAAGATCTTTTTAAACATCAAGACACATATGATAATTCCATTTTTAGACTAATACGTAATATATTGAATTACAATATAATAAGACCTCCTTGCAATAACTCTAGTTTTTTAATCCTTATTTTAAGTGTGCATGGACATAACATGTATCGACATGCGCATATCACAATATCAACATATCATGCGCATTCACATTTACACTACAATCATTATTATGCATGTATATATAGGCAAATATAGTTTAATTTTTATCATTTATCAACATATCAAATTACATAGGGCTTGTCCTGATTTACTGAACTGAGTTGAACTGATTGAGCTGTATTGAATTGAAAATTTCATGTGAGAAGGAAATTAGAAACTGTAGTGAAATGAAAATAAGTTGAAGAGAACAGACCCATACTCATCTAAGTTATACTCTCTAATCTCTATTACACGAACTGACAGTCTGAGAGTTGAAGAAATGAAGAGTACAAAAAAAAAGGTTTTATGAAATACACTCCATGTCTCATAAGAATTTGACTTATTTGTGCTGACTTTTTCAAACTTTGACATAGTTTGACTTAAATTAATAAAAGCCTAAATTATCTTTTTCTAAAAAATAAAAAATCTTAGAAATCGTGTTGCCCTGATTGAAAGTCGTAAGCGAGTCCAATTCTGCAATCTCTAACCAACAATCTGCAAACAATAACGACGTCGTTTCAATCGCAACATCAATGTACGAATTTTCAATCCCTAATAAAAATTGAAAAATTCAACTAACTTTAAGATTCCACGTTCGTTGAAGAAGAAGAAGATAAACCTCTGAATTTCGAAACCTCCAAATTCAATCAACAATGTCGAAACGTTTCTTTTTCCTCCCACTCTCTCTCTTCCTCCTTCTTCTTTCTCTCTCCTCCGCAAACCCTAACCCTAATTCTCTGTTAGCAGCACACACAGAACTCACAAGCTACGGCTTTCCCGTCGGACTTCTCCCCTCGAACGTCGCCGACTACTCAATCAACCGAACTTCCGGCGACTTTTCCGTCAAACTCAGTGATCAATGCAAGCTTACTCTTCCGCCGGACAACTACCTCGCGTCGTATTCGAAGATCGTCAGGGGTAAAATCGTCAAGAATAAGATTGCTCAGCTTGATGGAATTAGGGTTAGGGCTATGTTTCAGTGGTGGTCGATTACTGGGATTCGATCCAGTGGTGATGATTTGGTTTTCGAGGTTGGGTTGTTGAGTGCTAAGTATCCCGCCAAAAATTTCAAGGAGAGTCCTCCTTGTGAGGGTCTTAAGGCCGATTCTTGAGCTCGGAACTTGAGGTTTGAATTTGATTTGTGTGAGCTTAATTGGTTGTTTTATTTTGGGGTTTTTAATTGTGTAGTTCTTTGATTGAATTTTAATGTTATGATTGTTATCTAGGGTTTATATTAATTGATTGTTTTTTCTGTGTGGTTTAGTTGGGCTGTGATTTTCTGTGTGCTAATTTTTGTTTTTGATGTTGCTTTACGCTTTATTATTCTTTTAGTTATTGAATTTCTGGTAATTAAAGTGATTGTGACTTTGTGAGGTTTTAGTGGTTATGACTGATTGTTGTTGGAGGGATGATTAGTTTATCTCAGAGATACGGGCGTTTTCGCTTTACTTTATATATGTATATGCTGATGAAAGTAGGAAATTGAATAGTAGGTAAGAAACTTTTATAGTGATGAAGTGAGGGATGAAAAGGTTGATCTTTTTGGAGATTAGGAATTCCATGTGGTCGTGAGGGACATGAGATTTTTCTCGACGAAAACTTGGAGTATACGCTCATTGCAGGCAGTTCTTGGAATATTATTACGATTGTGATGCGTTTTAGATGCTGAGGGGTGGTTGGTGCGCCTTTGCCACCTTGTCTTGATTGATAACAGTCTGAGGAAAGAAGACTTTACAAGCTGTTATCACCAGCTATATGGATTGTCGTTTAAGAATATTTGTTATGCAATGCTATGGTGCATGTTCTAATTGGTGGTTCAAAGAATGGTGAGAATCTTTGTGTGGGATCCAGAGAGAATCTGGGGGACTTATCGGAATGGAAGTATGAAAAATCTTTGGAGAACAGAGTTGAGGGTTGAAATTCAGCACTTTTTATGAGGGATGCCTTGGTGAGCACTTGAGTGCATGTGATTTAAGAAGGTCTATATTCCCTGTCCTGCTGTCCCCTTGCTCGAGTTTTGCTGATTGTGCAAATACTCCTAATCTCCTACAGTTCTATGTAATCATGAGATGCCTAATTAGTTAGGCTAATGGATCAATTAGCAATTAAGTGATAGTGAGCGATGGAGCTAATAGAAACTTAAGAATATGGGACAAAACATTCCTGATTTTTGGCAAAGTTCAAAAGGCTTTTGGGAAACAATCCTGTCTTATACATATCCAAATGGGGAGAGTACTTTTATTGGTTCCCTCAAAGTTAATTCCAGCTGAGATTTTACAGTTAATCTAACTGAACCGATTTGCAATTGCTATTATCTATCATAATGATAAGAGAGTAATGTTGGGCTTGTTAGCTTAGTTTGAGTGAACTCTATTGTTTTAATGAACAGTATAGCTGAAGATCCTGATTATTATAGAGAATTGATGGTGAGGCTTGTGTTGCAACATAGATATGGTTGTCTCTGTATACAACAAAAAGGTAAGCTATACTGGGAAAATAGGGAAGAGAAATTCTCGGAAATCATGGGAGAGAGTCTTTTTGAAGGTAAGAGCATAAAATGGAGGAATAAGAAAGAAAAGAGAGATAAAGAAGGGAAGTGCTGCAAGTGCATGATGTGGTTCTGGAAGAGGTTATATTATCTACTCTTGTTTCAGAAATTATACCTAATTATTTTGTATATTATATTTTATAGATTGGGCCTTGGGATAATATTGATATAATGGCTTCAAACTTTGGGAAGTTATAGGAAGAGCAAGTAGGACTATTAGCACTTTGCTCTAAGTAGTAGAGAGAGAGAGAGAGTGCCAAAATTGATTATATTGCTGTAATTACAAAATTTGATGACACATCTGAACTATAAGACACTTTCTGATATGTATTTTTGGAATGGCTTTTGAGTGAACTGTTCTGGAGTGGGGAGGGATCAAACCATTGTCACACCAGTACACCACCATATTACTGCAATACATTGGGTGGAAAACTGGAAATGCATCTATCTTGTGTTTTTGACTTGTGAGATAATTTGCAAGCTATCAAATGACCTATTTTAATTTTGAAAATTTCAATTTTTATGGTAAGTTTTCCATATATTCAACAGATATTATTGCTCAAATTTGTAAAGTAGCCAAACTAGGTTGTTGTTGTTGTTTGGGTTTTTTTTTTTTTTTTTTTTTTTTTTTTTTTGTGTGGCTAATTCTGGTTTTCTGATAATTTTGACCTATGCATTGTGTAGTTTACATGTTAAGTTTTTGGTGGGTTAGACCAAACTATTTCTAATCAATAAATTGACAGTTTCTTGGGACAGATTAAGCTAGCAGATATGATATTATCTTGTCAAAATGTGGCATTTTTCAAAAGTGTACTTGAAATCAACTTGGTAATGAGGTTTTGCTAGTACTGCCCTGTATGCCAATTAATAAAAAAAAATTACCAGAAAATGCTTAAATGTGCAAGCTTGATGATTTTGAAATTTGAATGAGGGTCATAAGCATAATCAAAAGGAATTGTTCTCTTGAAGGGCAGGGTATAAATGAGTATGAAGTATTAAGAGGTTGATTAGAACTTCGTTTTAAAAATTTGGATCCTAAATAATCGCAATAGTTTGGATTTGACACTATTCATATACTGACTTTGACTACATTGTGTAGTTTATACGTAGTATTAAAATCAAAAGTAGTTATTTTAAAAAAATGCAACACATCCTATAATTGAAAAAATCTAAAGTAACACAATATAGTAACAAATCTAAACCAATTACCTAAGCTCCATGTGGGTCAAAAAGGGAGGGAGTATATAATTACATGTATTAAAGGTCAAACTTATGTATTGGCTTGTTAGTATTCAGGGTTGGATGGATAGTATAGACTATAGATCCCCTAACTCTGTTCTTGAATGCAGGGTTTCACTCATCTTTATTTCAGTTTCGCAAGTGTACATGCTTGCTCTCAAGTACCATGCCCCAGGAGCAACTACCTCTATTTTATTGCTTTCCTTATGTTATGTGTATAGATGCTGTAATCGTGTTATAATATAGACTTTCAGTGGAATAAAATGTTACTGATAATATCTAAGGCTTCTAAGCTTTGTCTGTAATTTTATTAACTTTTAATGTTGTATATACATACTGCAAACTGCTGCTGTTATTTTTACTATGAAGCTGTTGGCATCACACTTGAAACTAGCACTGATTTAGCACTTGAAGCTCAGGTCAATATAAACTATGCAGTTTTATACAATGTACTTCGGGGTTTTTTTTTTTTTTTTTGTTAACTTGCAACATATAGCTAGTATTAAGGAAAGCGGAAAAATGGTGTAGACGTGTAGTGGACCACAAAGCCATGCAGTTAGCCATGTAGATGAAAAAGTATGGGTATGCTGTGCGTGCTTGTGTAGAGAAAAGCTCGAGATCATTGAGTGCAGGTTAGTATCTTTAGCGTTGTAGTATATACAAGGCGGATCGACATCGTGTTCACAGGGCGCACCTAATTGCAGGGGAGGCTGCTACTCATTTCATCTGCTTTAATAGTTTTATGTATTAGTTTTCTTCTTTTTATCCTTTGTCAAAAAAAAAAAAAAAAAAAAAAAAAAAAAAAAAAAAAAAAAAAAAACTTCTAAAGGTAAATTGATAGGAATATGTCATAATAATTCAAATACACTCTTTAACATAAATCTGACTTTGAAAACCAAAAAGGGGGACGTGTAATTTGATTTTAGAAAGATTTACACTTTATGTTAGCTGAAAATTTACAACTTTACAGAAAAAATAAAGTGGAAAACCAATAAGGGGGGAACGTTTAATTGGAGTTGTGTGGAGTTGGAGTTAGGAATAAAAACAATGGGGTCGGCTTTTAAAAAACAAAGAATAGGCCTCATAGAAGTGTTAATTGTTGGGCCAAAATGAAATTCAACTTCTCGGGGTCGACTTTTACCCCTGCCTTTGTGGCTCTATATACATCAAAAAAGGAAAATTGTTCTGTGTACTGGTGTACCCTCGAAGTTTTAAAAAATGTAATGTGTACCCTTAAAAACTTTCAAATGCACTATGTACCCAGTGGTTTATAAATGAATGTACTAAGGGCCGGTTCTTATACATTGAAATTCAATTCAGTTAAGTTCAGCTCAGTTCAGCTCCTAATTTCCTTCTCTTATAGAATATTCATTTCAGTTCAGTTTAATTCAGTTCAGTTCAGCTCAGTTCAGTTCAGTTCAGCTGAGATTAGTCAATGAGAACAAGCCCTAAAGAGTCAAATACCCTAATCCTCTAATAAATGCACATATCATTGACTTATTAAATTAAAATCATGCCCACACACTAACTTACTTTAAGTACTTTATATTTATACAGTAAAACCGCCTAAAAGCATGAATTAAATCAAAATTTAAACTCTGTCGATCATTCTAAATCATAAATTTGATGCATATGGGGTCTCAATTTAACAAAATTAAGATTTATTGTGAGTCTTAAGGGTATTTGGTGCAAGTTTTTACAAATATCAAGGGTACCCGGAGCCTTTAAGAATTTTCAGGGATACACTGTGTATTTTTTAAAACATCAAGGGTCCATGAAATAATTTCCAAAAAAAAAAAAGTGTTAATTCTTGGGCCAAAAAATTAAATTTAACTTCCTAGTCTACCACTCTACCTCGTTGATAAATGATGAACATCGGCCAAGCAACAAGCCTTTTATTAGTTTTATGGCTTTTAAAGTGTCTAAGCAAAACTTAAAAGTAACTTTTTCTAATTTGTCAATGAGTTAAGTTCAATTTATTTATTTGCTCTTAATTTTGATTTTATTAGTCATATTTATTCAATATATTTATATACTAGTGTAATACTACAGAAAAAGATATAAATTTAGTAAGTTGTGCACTAACAAATTTAAAACTCAAAGTGTCATGAGCTCAAAACTAAAATACAAAGTAGTATATATAAAACAAAGCACGTAAATTTTGAAAACTTTACTCACCTTCTTAATAGTCAAATCTCTACCATCTAATCAAGATGTGAAATTAGTCTATGATAATATGACTATTGTCAATATTTTTAAAAATTTCACCTAACCAGGACCATACAAGAATGAGACTTGTATGAACTTTTGCATATTGTTATTGATCTTCCATAGTAAATTATCGATTTATTGCTCTAAAGTAGCACATTAACTTATAATATTTTTTATACTTTTTTTTTTCATTTATTTGACTTTTTTTTGTTATTCATTTCATCATATGTGTCATTTTGACACTCTAATGATTTATACTTAATGAAAAGAGAAAATTGTGAAAAATGACCTTTTAAGTGGTCGACTTTTTGAAAAAGGTTATTTTAAATGAAAACTTGTGAAAAATGACCTTTTAAGTTGTATATTGTTTGTAGAGGGTACTTGGGTGAGCTTACGTGGTGGTCAACGCTAGAGCTCCGGCGATGACTATCATATGTTAGTCACGTGACTTATTTTTTTTAAAAAAAATTCCCTAAATTTCCCTCCTTTCCTGACCTAACCCAAATTGAAGACAAAGCATTCAATGAAAGGGATAGGTCGGGAAAGGAGGGAAATTCGGGGATTTTTTATTTTTTATTTTAAAAAAAAAAAAAAAAAAAGTTACGTGACCAACCGCGTTGACCATCACGTCGAAGCTCCGGCGTTTACCACCATGCAAGCTCACCCAAGTACCCCATACAAACAAAATACAACTTAAAAGGTCCTTTTTCACAAGTTTTCACTTAAAAGGTCCTTTTTCAAATAGTCGACCACTTAAAAGTTCCTTTCTCACAATTTTCTCTAATGAAAATATAGTAATGTCATCAACAAGATGAACTTGTGAAAGGTACATAATTGAAACAAGTCCAAATTAAATTAATTAAAGATAGTTTCTTTTCTTTTTTTTTTTTTTTTTTTTTTTACGAAATTAAAGATCGTTACAACATGTAAATAAGGATGCATTCTCTTAAATTTCATAGGTTAGTATCTCAAAAATCATAATGGGTGCATGTGGAACTTTTTCATTTATGAGCTCGATGTTACTATCCATTGATATATACTAAACCCTAATTTTTTTGGTCCACAACGTGTAGATAAGTGGGAGCCATGCATGCAAAAATGACATTACCATGCATCCAAATAATTTAAATAAAAAGCTCCTTTTAATAATTGATGAGGGCCATCCTTTAATATTTTCATCTGTCAACTATCTATTACTCCACTTGTCCAATCCTTTTATTATTCCTTTTCTGATTAAGGGATAATAACTGTTCAAATAAATCATAATAACAATGTAGAGGAAAATTAGAGAATATGATATAGATTAGACCTCAATATTTGCTAAATAATTGTCGTATTATTTTCATTGCATTAGAAGCAAAATTTGTCATCATCATTGTATTCTCTATTTCTTCAAGTGGCGAGTGTATAGGATTACACGTACACTTACACAACTTCTTTTAAATTCGTGCTCCCAAGTCCCAAACTCAATTGGTGCTCGAATGCCAACTCCAAAAATCCAGGGAGAGCACGCAATTGTAAAGGAAAAGGAGATTGGATTCCGGTTTAACAAATTTGTTTGGTGAAGAAACAACGATAACACTTTAATTAATTGCGTAAAAATCTACTAATAATTCAATCTTGAAATTGAGTTAAATCTACTAATAATTCCGATTTGACACTATTTTGAATTATTTTGATACATATAAAAAATGTGTTATTAAAGACTTTTCCGTCTTGCTATTCAAAAAAAAAAAAAAAAAAGACTTTTCCGTCTTTAAAATCATTATAACTCAAGCACTTATCATTTTTCATTTACCATCCAATTAGTCTATCCCCTTGAGATGCATAAATTCAATTGGTGCCCTTTTATATTATACAATATAGATAAGATAAAATACTATACCTTGAAAAATAAGGCCAACCAAGTCACTTCGTAGAATGGTTTTGAGTTAAAGGACAAATTAGGTCATTTTTTTTTTATAAAACTGTCTCTTTCTTTGGTAGCTAGCACATTGGAAAGACATTTTATTCTTATTGATTAATTGGTAATTCTTTCCCAAATATTATAAGATTGGTATGAAAGTTAGTGTGTTAGTGATACTAAATTTGTGCTCTTTTGGTGAAAGTGAGGTGTCAAACAATTAGGGCAAATCGAATTACTTTCTACTACTAAACTATACAGTACAATTAGAGGAATTCAAAGTGTCACAAACTTTTATAGCTTAGGCCTAACATAAAAGAATAATAGGCATTACAAGCTTGCTTTGTTTGACCATTAATTTTAAAATACGATCAAAGTTGTTAACTTTCTATTAACATAAGATGATACAAGCACAAATTCCTCCTATAATTAAGATTAAAAAATTAAAAAAAAAAAACCCCCCTCAAACTTCAATCAACCCTAATCATCATAATTTATGTTAAATCTCATGCTTAGAGCTGTCAATTCGGGTAAGTGGGTCGGGTTTGAGTCGGGTTAGTATGGGCCGGGTCATCTCGGGGCGGGTCAGTACGGGTTAATGTCGGGACTTATGCGGGTCGGGTTCGGGTTGGGTCATGCTTGAGTCGGGTTACGTCGGGTCATACATCTTATCGGGTTTGGGTTGGGTTTAGGTCGGGTCAATAAAAGGTCGGGTTATATTCGGATCGGGTGAAAAACAGGTTGGGTTACATTCGGGTTTTTACGGGTTTAAACGAGTTAGGGTCCTGTTCGGGTTCGAGTCGGGTTCGGTCCAAGTTAATTATTTACGGGTTATAATCAGGTCGGGTCATTATCGGGTTCGAGTCGGGTTCGGTTCAAGTCAATAATTTGCGGGTTATAATCAAGTCGGGTCATTCTTGGGTTCGAGTCGGGTTCGGTTCAAGTCAATACATTTTTATTTTTTTTTTTAAAGCTCCAAATCAAATTGCATAATTTAAAACATTTTAAAAAATATTAAAATAAACAAGTGAATACTAAAATTTGAAAAAAAAAAATATAAGTAGTTATATGGAAGTTTATTTTGAAGTTTATTTACGGGTTATAATCTTATGTATTTGTTAACGTCGAATCTCTATTGTAGATGTCGTATGGCTTTTAATTAATGAAATGTTTTTGCTATTAAAAAAAAATTATTTATAAGATAAATTTAGAAAAAAAAAAACATTTGGCTGATTTAATTAGACAAAATCACTATCACCGATTCACCTCACTCACCTCATATTGCCTCAATTACGTTTAAAAAACATTGACAGCTCATAGAGTCACAACTCTACTCTAATACTCTATCAACTCATGTCCTCATATAACTCATTGCTCATATAGGAAGTTGAAGATAATTAGGAAAAATAAAATCAATCACATTAGAAATTCCATGGTGGAAAATTTCGTCAATCTCGCCATTAGAGTGCAACCTTCCTTAATATACTAAGATTGAGTCTTTTTTTTTTTTTGTTGTTGTCCAGTTCAGTTTTTCTTTGATGAGGATTATGTAAGAGATAAGTCAAGTAAGATGAGAAAGGCCACTTTTGTTTTATAATTGGAATCCATGTTAATAAATTGAAAAAAAGCCTGAAACTCAATAGTCAATACGGAGTACTCTTTTTATCCTAAAAACTCCTAAATCCTAAACTTCGGGTTAGTAATAGGTCGAGTTTAAATTCGGGTCAGGTCAATAAGAAGTCGGGTTGAATTTGGGTCGGGTCAATAACAAGTCGGGTTGATTTCGGGTTGGATTTGTAACAGGTCGGGTTAGGAACGGGTCGGGTTGACCTCGGGTCGGGTTAGTAACAGGTCGGGTTGAATTCGGGTTTTGACGGGTTAAATCGGGTTTGGGTCATTTTCGGGTTCGAGTCGGGTTCGGTTCAGGTCAATAATTTACGGGTCACATTCGGGTCGGGTCCTCTCTGGTCGGGTTCGGGTCTCAAATACTCAGGTCAACTCGGGTCTAGGGTTGGTTTCAGGTCGAGTTCAGATCACCATTTTTTCGGGTTCAGACGGGTTAGGGTTAGGGTTAGGGTCGGGTTAGGGTCGGTATTTCGGGTCAGGTCAGCTTTTAACAGCTCTACTCATATTACATGTATTTATTTATTTAGTCACGTGATGAAACTATAATATGATGGTTGTAACTTGTAATTGTCTTTTTATTGTATATTATAAATTTAATTTCTTTTAAGATTCGGTTCATATTAAATACATCACGTGGGTTCATTTGCGAATTGCAATCAAAGGTCTATTAAAAGTGACTTTGTGAGTTATTGTTGATGCCAATTATTGATAATTAAGTACTACTCGTTGATTTGAAAGTTGTATATTGTTTGCATATATACAAAATGAAGTTACGTGCTATTTATGCACATTTGAATTAATTATTAGAAAAAATATGTGAAACTTGGAATACGACATGTATCTCTAAGTAACTCAATCGGCTAAATAAAGAATGTGAATGAACCAAAACTTTATAAAAAAGAAGATTTTTATGTGTTGCACCCAGACATATACTCCGTATTGATCGGTGTATATATATATGATCGGATTTTGATCATAATAACTACTTGAACATATTTATTGATCAGATGGAGTATATCTGAAGACGTAGATCCAGTGGTTTAGTTATTAGCTATTTAATTTCTTTGTTTCATTTTAGTTGATACACAAAAATAAAGTTTAGAGCTTTTAATTAAAAGTGTAAATTTTTGGTTGAACTAGACCTTTGACAATATTCAATCCATACATTTACACTATTTACTTGTAAAATATGTGATTGAAAAACGTTGTAACCAAATCAAACTATGTAAACCTTTTCACTCCTTTTATCTGCAACTTTGATATAGGCGAGCCTATTATGTACACCCCATTCAATTAATAATTGAGTAAAAATATTACTCCGTATTTGCTTTTTTATTGATTAAATAAGCATATGAATATATGACTCTGGGTGTACGGTGCACCCGTATCATATCTTATATTTCCCACAAGGCTAGAAGGGGATAAAATATCAATAGATATACGAAGTAATATACTAAGTACTAGTATAACATTTAGCAATATGTAGACACTTGATTACATAAGGACATTATTCATCTACAATTTTAGATGTAGGAAGTTCTTCAATTTCCACTTTTGCCTTAACAAGACTCTATAGGTTTGGGACATTATATGTTCTAAATTGAAACACACTCTATCTCAAAGCGTTCCCAATTTAATTTTTTATGAACTTGAGTCCCGAGTAATAATTTGAAATACATGTCAAAACAACGAGTCAGTCAATGTAAAAAAAAAAGGGATATTCCCATTGATACACTCCAGGTTTTGACTTTTCTCAATGGTACCACATTTTTTTTTGACTTCCTGCTGATACACCCAAGGTTTTGACTTTATAATTCACGTACCTAAGTCTGTTAATCAGGCGTTAATAACTTGATAAATTAACATCTTAGGCTTAGTAAAAGATGAAATGACTAATATACCCCTTTTTTAATCCATTCCCTCCGAAATTTTCCGCTTAAATTGTCTGTTATTTCCCTCTAACTTCTCAAACCCTATTCCCTCCCTAAAAAAAAAAAACCACTTTTCCCTCTTCTATTCTCCATTAAAGTTCTCTTCCATTGTTGCAAACTTATCTCATCTCCATTAAAGCTCCCTTGCTGCAAACTTATCTTCTCTTCTGACATTGCTGCAAACTTATCATTGATTGTTTATGTTTAATATTGAGATCAACTAAAATAGACAAAATAACTAAAATGTGGGACAAATTGAAATAGACAAAATGGCATCAGTTGCTAACATTCATTAATATATATAGGTTATTTGGGAACATTGCAAAAATCCAACTTTCAACAGTAAAGTTGTCTACTAAATTACCAAATAACAACAGCAAAAATCATCCCAAATGACCAAATAAAAAACAAAGTTAACTACAAGTTTTGACTTTCTAACAAATTATCAAAATGCATATGCCACTATACTGCAGAACAAAAGACTTAAGAGCTTGGAGAATTTGATTTTCATTGAGACATAGGCACTGGTTGGCTAGGCAACTGTGAAGCTGTCAGTACTGTTGCTTGCTCAGCTGAGGGTCTGCCCTTCTGTCCCTTTGCTTGTTTAGCTGAAGCTGCTGACTGATATCCAACTTCTTCAGATTTCTTTGCTGCCTTAGCTGCCTTTGTTGCATTACTTTGGTCTCTGACCCTAGGATTTTTTATGACAACAGGCTCATTTGACTTCAGTTCTTTCCCAGTTAACCCTCCCATACAAGTTGTCTTATTATGGCCAAAGCAACCACATTTGCTACATTTGACTGTTTTGGACCTTTTTCCAGGTTGCTCTTCACCTTCCTCCCTCTTTCTATTCCTACTTGGTCTTCCAATTCCCCTATTCATCTTAGGAGGCATGATGATTGTATCTGACTCATCTGCAGGCCATTGCTGTGTATCAGGAATTGGGTTAATGCAGACACTATAAGCTTGCTTGTAAGTCTTCAGAGAATACCAGGAACTGACAAAGTCATGTGGGTCAAGCTTTGCATCAATGCAGGCCCTAATGGCATGCCTACATGGCACACCTGTCAGGTGCCATGCCCCACAGGAACAAATCTTCTTGTTTAAGCTCAGAGGAAACTGTGATCTTCCTTCATGAATTTCATATTCTCCTGGACTGGACTTGAAAGCTCTACATTTTGAGGTAGCTTTACCTATTTCTTTCACTAGATTCACAATTTTAGGAGTAATGTCTTCATCTTTCCAAGACCTTGCATTCTCCATCCTTGTTGCAATTCTCACCATACAAACCCTTCTTATTCCTGCATTCAGTATCATAATTAGATGTCTTACTAAACCAGTTTGAAATAACAATGATATCACATCAATTGAACAATTAATACCTTCTAGCAAAGTCAAAATAGGCCTACACCTATTCACCCCAAGTGTAGAGTTGAAGCTCTCTACAAAATTAGAGGTATTGGAGTCATTGCAAACATTTGGGTCAAATGCATGCTTACTCCATTTAAATTGCTCTCCCAAGTCTGCAAACCAACACATGACATAATCACCTCCTACTTTCTGCAACTTCTCCATAGCTTTCCTAAATGTGAAAGCTGAAGATGCATTGCAAGCTCTCCAAAAGAGAACATGCATCATAGGGCCTGGAAAAAGTTTCTTGAAGTTTCTACTGAGATGCCTATAGCAAAACCTCCTATCAGCTTTAGGCCAGACTTGTTCTAATGCAAGTTCAACTCCCTGATACAATGAGTACACAATAAGCATGTTTAGGGATAGACTCATATCATAGCAAAACAATGATAAAATTGAAACACAAAGAGGAAAGTACTTGCCTTTTGCCTATCAGAAATAATGGTCCAATGCTCCCTTTATGAGTCTTTCACAATGTTCAACAAATGCCAAAAGAAGTATGTCCATGATTGCTTGTATTCTTGGCCAACTACAACATATGCAATGGGGAAGATCTTATTATTTCCATCTATTCCCACAGCAAAGAGCAATACCCCCCATAGTTACCTTTGAGATGGGTCCCATCTACACCAATTAAAGGTCTAACACCTTTTAATAGACCTTTCCATTGTCCAGTGAAGGTGATAAAGATGCTTGTAAATTGCAGCTGTTTAGGGATAGACTTAGTTTCATTCCATGCACAAAAAGCTTTTGACTCTGGGTTTGTTTCTATGCACATCTTAGCATATTGTGGCAGCATTCCATATGACTCATCATGTCCTCCAAACAACTGCTCAATCACATAGCTCTTTAACCTGTACAAGGTTGACTGCCTCATGTTGATGCCATATCTCTGAAAAAGAAGTTCATTGAGTGCTTTCCCAGGAATGTCTGGGTTAGCCCTGATGTCTTCCATGACTTTTTGTGATGCCCATTTTACATTGCATATGGGGTTGTAAGTCTCTAAGTCCCTACAAGTGTGTACATTAGGCCATATTTTCTTGATTGCCCAAGTTCTGCCATCTGACAGTCTACTGGCACGCAATCTCCAATCACAGCATTCAGATTGGCAAACTGCACTGTACCTTTTGTTGTCAGCATACTCTACATTGATGGAAAATCTTTCTTGAACAACAAAATCCTTCAAAGTGTCCTTAAAGTGAGCTTTGTCAGTAAAAATCATCCAAGGCCTGAGTGTTATTTTACCAAAATCAGCATCCTCATACATTTCTCCATTTTTTTACAATCTCTGAAAATAATCTTCATCATCTTCATCATCAAAGAAGTCAAACCATTTTGTTGGTTTCCAAGTGTCCTTCACTTTTGGAATCCTATTAAGCTGCTCTTGCTCATCTTCTGGAATATCACCTGTTGGTGCAACTTCTCCATCAGAGTCTTCTTCAGCTTCATTATAACCACCTGATCTCTCAGTCTTTATAGACTCAGAGCTTTGGACAACAAATTGCATCCTTCTTCTCACCCTAGAGCCAGAAGAACTGCCTGCACCTGACTCAAATTCACCCCTGAAGAACTGCCCTGCACCTGACTCAAATTCACCCCTAAAGAACTGCCCTCAGTCACAGTCACATTCACCCTAGAAGCTGATCCATGAATCTGACTCACAGTGTCACCAACACCTAGCATCCTTCTCTCACTCACAGTGTCACCAACACTTAGCATCCTTCTCTCACTCACAGTTGAACCTATCCTTAACCCCTTTCTTATAGTTGTGGACCTAGGAATCTTTCTTCTAAATACAGAGGTCTGAGTTAATGGTTCAGCATCAGAAGTTTTAGGTGTCTTAGTGACTGCCAAAGGTGAGAATCTAGGACTCCTTCTTAGTGTTAAACCCTTGAAAACAGTAGTTGGTGACCTAGGAGATGGTGGTTGCATTGGGGTTGTTTTGGTGGTACTACTCTTTTTATTCTTTGTAGCCTTAACCTTCTTAGACTTTTGTATCCTGTCCATAGATTTCTCAAACTCTATTCTACCCTTGGTATACTCAGAAGCAGATTAAGGATTATTTGTTTCTTCTTGGGGTGAATCATAACCCTCATTATACCTAGGTGGAGAGGACTCATTATTTGGGATTATCTCATTAATAGAAGGCTGTTTATCAATTTGGGAAGGGTAAAATTGGAATGGTTATGTTTGGGTTGTTTCATTTTGAGTGGGTTGATCTGTTTGGAGTGTTTCATTCTGAGGGGGTGGATCAGTTGGTGGTACAGTTTGGGAAGGTTCATCATTATGGGGTGGTACAGTTTGGGAAGGTGCAGCAATTGGTTGTTCAGATTTGGATTTGTTCCTTAACCTGTTGATCATTCTATTCAAGGCACTTGGTTTCTTGGCAATCCCAACCCAAATGTGATACATCTCACAGTCACCTAGGGTATGAATCATCTTAAAAAAAAATCAGCATCATCTAGTAAAGGGTGATTCTTTTCATTGTGACCATAACCAAAGGTAGGGTTGATTAAGGGATACTCAGTGTTTCGGGGTTTTCTGATGTCCTGCGGGAGAGTTACAATTCCGAGACTGGAACCGGACGCCTGTACCTGCAAAATAACGGAGACTCCTGAGAGCTCCGCCTCCAACGGTCAAGTTAGTACCTGATTAAGGAGTAATTAATACGGAAATTAAAGTAATAAGATCTCTCTAGGTGAGAGTGCTTAGTGTTGGTAATCTGCGTCGTTAGCGAGATTAGCCGGTTGTCGATGTTCCGTAATAACTCTGTTCTTCTCTGCTTGAGTTCTTTTGATTTGTTCAATTACCTAACTAATGAGGATTAATTAAGTATTTATAGCCTTGAGAAGCGTGCAACTCTCTAGGTTTAAAGTAAACCTAGGGCTGATCGGGCCTCTAAACTGGATTGGGCCTTGATGGCCGGTTTTCCCATTTGGCATGGGTGGACACGTGGCGTGTCTTAATTGGTCCGTAGAGGACGTATCTGTGACTGACACGTGGCAGGCTCCCGTTGGCCTTCGTGAAGGACACGTGGCGGAACCTGGTTGGTCCACTTGTCTGACGGTGATTGGTGGATAAAAATCCCCTAATCATTTGCCCCTCACAGGTGGCACGTGACTGGTCACGTGTCGCCTGTGACAGGTGTCGCATGGTGACAGGCGACGGCCTGCTACAGGTGTCACCTTGCAAACGGCCGAGAGATTTTCCCGCCCAAATTTTGAATTTGGAAGCGACCCTTCGCCTTCTCACTTTGCCTATAAAAGGAAGTGCTGACTTCGGTCATTTTCACATTTGAGAACTTTGCGAGAACATTCGGACCCCTGAACTTGCTCTGACATTTCGGACCTTTTCTGCCTACCGCCTGTTCTGACAAGCCGACTGACCCGAACTTCCAGGACTTCATCAACCGTCACTCGTTCAGGTAACTCAGTTCTCTTACTCTTAATTTTCTTTTTATTTTTTGAAATGGCACCATGGAAGCACACGACACGACCTAAGTTAGTGATCAGCCGGTCACCGGGGACGGCTGAATCTAGGACTAGGAGTGCCGCCTGCCCTTTTCTGGACCCATCTTTGCCCTTTATACAAAGTCCGACTGTATCTGTGTCTATGCAGAACGTGATGGCCAGAACGAAACAGACTGCTATGATATCAAACTCAGACGGCTCTTCCCAAAGGGTGCTCCTTAGTGAAACATCTGACCAGGCGCCAGATGTAGAACGAGGCGACTGTCAAGCCGACAGTTCTGAGAGAGGGGCCAAGGTGTTCCCTTCCCATCTTACTGTTGACATGTCTAATTTTCCTCCTGCTCCTTCTAAGGGAGAGGAGGCGGGCCCCTCTAGGAGAGGGGAGGAGTCGTCCTCCTCGGACTCGTCAGAGGACGAGTCTGAGTCCAGCTCTTCTGGCCACAGTTCTCCAGGCTCAGAAGAAAAACATAGCCGCCTACAAGAGGCGAGACTTTCTCATGCAGTTGAGAAGGGGGACAATTGGGCGGAGCCATCCGCCTCTTACAGAGAGGAAAACGCCCCCTACTACTGCAGGGTACCCCGGGGCCGGATTGCAACCATGCAAGACAACGTGGCGAGCTTTATTGCTAACCACAAAATGGGCCCGGAATTTTTACTGTTTGTGCCGGATCCAGAAGACACTGTCGTCTGGCCGGCTGGTACCAGCTATGGTGACGGCTGCTTTGGCTGCTATGTGGCGACCATCAAAGCTGGACTGCGCTTCCCATTACATCCGGCTGTTCAGCGGATTTTAGATGGGTATGATCTGGGGTTATGGCAGTTAGCCCCCAACTCTTGGGTAAACGTACTCGGCTATGTGGCCGGGTGCGAAATGTACGGGGTGGAGCCAAGCTTTGAGGCTTTCGCCCACATGAACTATCTCAGCCGGACCCCTAAGTCGGGAGGTACCGGCTGGTACCAATTAACAAGCCATAGGGGTTACCTCATGACGAGAGGTAAGGCGAACAAATGGAAGGATTGGCGGAACACCTTCCTTATCATTGAGAGTTCAGACATGGAACTGAACAAACGTTTTAACAAGTGGAATAGGGATCCGCCTCTCCTCGCAGGCGGCCGCAGCATGCCGCCTGTTCCCCCAAAGGCTAAAAAAGAGATCCTAGACAAAGGACTCTTCAAAGTAGAGACTAGGGTGAACTCTACTTCAGGGGTACGAGAGCAAGTACCCCTAAACTGCGTCCCGAGCTTCAAGTGGCTCTATGACGAGTACTTCTTGGCCGCCTGTGGCCTCGGCAGTCGGTGCTCTAGAGGTAGCCGGCCTGACAAATACTCTGTTTTTTCACGCCTTGTTTACTTGGGACTTTTACTAACTTTGTTGTTTATTTCTTGCAGCTGACGCCATGAGTAAAATAACAGCATCCAAGACTGCGGCGGCCATGTTGCGGGCCTCGCTCATGAAACAGTCGTATGCCGACTCCCCCAACAAGGAGGCACCCTTGGTAAGCTTCGAAAACTCTTCCTCTTTTAGTTGTCTTATGCATATACTAACTCTTTTTGTTTTCAGTCTGGTACTCCAAGGGCTTCTTCCTCGCAACAGCCGGACCCCAAGGCCCGGAGGACGACTGTTGCAAGCTCTCCTGGGTCTTCCAGGAAAACAGTGGCGGCTGAGAAGCAGCCGGCCACTTCTTCAAAAACCCAGGCGGGGCCGCCTAGATGTATGGATACTCACTTGTAAAAAAAAAAACTCCCCCTTGCTTCCTCCTTGACTAGGTCTAACTTGTTTTTTCCTTTCACTTAATGCAGCCGGCCCCCAAGGGCTTGACTTGGTTGAGGTAGCCAAGTCAATGGTTAAAGTAGTTCCTCCGTCTGACAGGGAGGCGGTCAGGG